CCCTGCATTCCGGCGCAAATGGGGCGGGAACGGAGGGGTGATGAACCTCCCATGCTCTAGTGCAGAAGAGGGGGGGGAACGGGGGGAGATCAGAGGGGGGTGGATCGAAAACAAACATGCCCCTCTTGAAGTGGAGGAGGAAAACATTGGATCATCCCAAACGCCTTTTCAACTACCAGGCTTTACGATGAGACAACAAAACATGCTGCACCGCCAAAGACGTCGGTAAAACGGTCCCGTCGCCCATCCGCCTGAAATCTTCTCGCGTTCTGCGGCCCTGCAGCTTTGTTAGTCCATCGTCTATCTACAAGGGCGGAAACTTACTGGTTTTCAACGTGCTGTTTCTGAGCAGGGACCGACCGTCCCGGCATTCCTATAGTCCTACCACGATATGTTCTTAGAACCCAAAAGTGTTCTAAGAGCATCAGCAATTTTCTTAGAACATAAACCTGATGTGTTGAAACAAGACAGTCTCAACCAGAAATGTTCGAAGAACAGTTCCTGGAAACCACCAAAGGTTCTTAGAACATTGTTTGGTCTCGCCATCGCTTGGACGTCCATTCCCTGTGTTTTTTCGGTTTCGTGCGTGTTTTTTTTGCCAAATGATCGAGGATGCTCCTCGATGGTCGCCGCCGAAGGAAAAATGCACACGTGCGAGCGATGCCAAGTGGTAGGGCTATAGGCGAGCCAGGACGCTCCGCCACTGCTTGATGTTTGCGCATGCCGATCCCGAGACTGCGCTTGCCGAACACATGTCGGCGCGGACGGGTGGCGCTCCAGCCTCCACCGTCCACCTCTCCTGTCGGATCCCCTCACGCGCCATGGCTAGGATTAAGTCGGGCGTGTCCCCATACAGGGGGATTTTCGACGAAACATGAAACAGACTCAACAAATACCCCAAACTGGCCGAAAAATGCTCAAAAAATAGTCCCCTGATTTTTTTCACTATTTTTGAATATTCCCCCTGTAGAGGGACAGGCCCGACTTAAGGCTAGGAAACGTGCAAGTCGGAAGCAATATCACTCCAAACCGTGAAGCCATTGGATATGTGCCACTTCCTGTTCTCGTCTCAAATCGGGTCGGGCGAAAGGGGGGGGATAGCAAAGGAGGGATTTGAGAATCAGCTCACGTAGCTGATTTTCCTGGCGCCTCCCGGCGCCGGAGGCGGCTATGTATCGAAGAATGGGCCCCTCCGTGGGGCCGAAACCAACTGCATGCAGCAAATTTGGTAACACTCCCTTTCCCAATCCCCCCCTTTCGTCCGGCCCGATCATACCCACCGACCATATGGCTGGAAATCTCCAGCAAATGGACAGGCCGATGGCAGCATCTCATTCCGCGCCGATCTCCCGGCATGCGGCCGCACCCAGCTCGGTCACCTCGCAAGTCCACTGTGCTGTGGAGATGTGATGTGCTGGGTGGTTTACTGCCCTGGCCATTCCTCATTCACCTCCCGCTTCTTCGTCCTCTTCCCACCTCTTCCTAAATCCCCCTGTCTCTCTGTATATGAATAGATGTATATATATATATATATGTATACGAATATAGACATATATCTATATATATATGTAGTTCTGTATAGCTACGTTTTTTTTGTTTTGTATTTTTTCTCTCTCTCTCTCTCTCTCTCTCTCGTTCCCTTCGTCAACTTCATGTTATGCCTCGGTCTCCTTCCGTGGCAGTACTCTCCGATCGCTGGTCACCTTCACGTTCTCCCTCGGTCACCTCCATATTCTGCCTCGGTCTCCTTCTGCCTGCTCCACGCCTACCTCCATCGCCTTCCTCCATCGCGCTGTTCCTGATATCTCTGGTTTCGTCCTGCCCTTCTCCCCCTTTTCCTCATCCTCCTGCAACTCCTCCTCCTCCTCCTCCTCTTCCTCCTCTGCATCCTCCTACGTACCTCCTCCGCCACCCAGTCCGCCCTCCACATCCTCCTCTCTCCTCCCTCATCCTCTTTCTCATCATCCTGCTCCTCATCTTCCTTGCTCTTCGGTGTTCCGCCCTCCTCCTCTTGAAGACTCATACCTTCTCCTCATTCTCCATCGGGCCTCGTCCACCGCCTCGCCCCCGCTCACTGTTGGCTCTCCGCCCTCTTCACTTCTCGATTCTCGTCGTCCTCGCTCTGGCACGCCCCGCCTCTCAGCGCAAGGCCTAGGACCGCAGCGATAGCAAAAGGCAGATACTGTCACAATTCCAACATATCCAACTGATTCTCTCCTCCTCCCCCCTCCTCCTTCATTCATTCATTCATGCCAGCGGGAAACGCGCGTCAATGCCGCGTCCCCCCTCCTCCTTCCCCCCCCGCTTCCTCCCCTCCGCCCCCGCCCCGCCCTCCTTCCTTGAAGGGGCCCACAAACACACAAATAAATACACACAAATAACAGGATCCCTTTCTATGTTTCAATATTTTCTGGGCTTTTGTCTTCCCTCCCACTTCGCATATTTTCCAGGAGTCGACGATCAATTGTGTCTGTGTGTTTTCTTCCTTCCTGATTCCTCCATCCCCCTCCCTTCTGAACAGCTCCTCCCCGTCACGCCTCCAGAGACGTGTCCGAAGGGCGGGCCTTGCGTTTCGCCTGAACCCCGAGGATCACGCAGTGCAACATCCTCAGGGGTGGAGGGCGGGTGGCTTGTAAACTGCTCCTCTCGCCCGAACGCCGCGCGCATCTGCCCTAAAACATTGCCGCAGCTTCGAGGATGGTGCATGCCTCAGCGCCGCGCACACTCGTCTGAACCGATTTGACGGCAGTCTCGAGGATCGTGGGCGGCTCCTTCTCAAAGTGTAGCTCTCGCCGGGGCCTTGGCGCCAATCGCACTCGTCTCAAAAGATTTTGGCAACAACTTCCTGGACGGAGGACGGCTCCTGTTCAAAACGTAACTATCGCCTTTCGGGCGGCTGATAATAGGGGGTGACCCAAATGAAGGGAAGAGAGAAGGTCCCTAAAGGGGCCCTTTAGGGCCCTTTTCTTCATTCCCCGTTTGGGTCCCCCCATTAGTTACCACCCGCCCGAGCCTTAGCGCGGCGAGAATTGGTCTTCCGCGATTGCAGCACGCTGAAGGATTCGTAGGGCTGAAGTCCCAGGGGTGGTGCCCTGGCACGATCTAGGACTGTCAAGACGAAACGGTCACGTTGAGTTGCGGCATTGACGTCACACGAACGCTGTTTCAACACGATTGAATATTCTCATACGGTTGCCTTCCAATGGGGCACTTCCCGCAATGAACAAGACAAATTATTGCAGGGACCTTCGAAGAGGGTTTACTGCAACATCGTTGATGCGTGTTTGGCGAACACTGGTAGAGGCCTCCTAGTTGGGGTACGAGTAGATGGGGTCCAATAGTCGCCCTGCATCGCCAATGCATCGTCGATGTACCGGCGATGCATCGGCGATGCGTCGGCGACGCATCGGCGTGGGGAAACACGGGCTCCACATCGAGCCGCATCGTCGATGCATCGGCAATGCGGCGCGATGCTCCGACCCCATCTACTCGGAGCCCATCTGGGATGCCGAGGCCTAGACCTGGTCCTCCTCCCTCCTCCCCCTCCGCTGGAACGCTGCCCCAGCGCTCTTTGAGCTCGTGCCCCGGCGCTCCACCAACCGGTGCACGGCACCGTCCGTGGACTCCGGGGGCGTCCAAGAGGGGGGCGTCCAAGAGGGGAGTGTGCAAATCGTGGCCCATGGCATGTTCGCGGACCAGAGGGGGGCCCAGGAACGCATCGAAGCAAGAAGAGGGGCCATGAGATCCGGGGAGATGTTATGGCCCTGGCCATGATATCCCCCCCCTAGTCATCACCCCCCTCTTGGCCGCACCCGATAATCCTCATCTCCCTCCAGGCCGCCCCGACTGGGGCCCTTAGCGAGGCTCTCCCCTCCTCCGGCGCAGTTTCTATCGAGACGTGGGCTTCCTTGGGGATCTCGACCCCCGGGGTCCTGGGCGGGAAAAGCTCAAAGAGTGAATGGCAGCAGCCATCAGTTTGGCGACGCCCGTATCTGAGGGGACCCCTCCCACGATGCCTGCACCCGACTCCTCCCCCGAAGTCCTCCCCCCGATTTTCGGGGATCTGCTGACCTGGGTCAATTCAGACCGGGGTCAGTCGGGCCTTGCAGGATCCTGCAGTATCCTGCACCCAAACCCAGGTCAATGCGATCCTGGTCCTGCAGGACCCTGTAAGATCCTGCAGGATCCTGCAAGAAGCGGCGCCCTCGCTGACCCCCGTTTGCAGCGACCCCTGTCTCTCGAGCCCCGAGATTTCTTCCCTCCCCCTCCCCCGGTTCCTCCCCAGAGGTCCTCACGACCCGCGGGGCAGGCAGGCCGGCAGGGGGGTCCACCTCGCCGGTGTGGCTGTACCCCTTGATCAGGGTGCTGAAAGTGATGAGGTCGGGCTCGATGCCCATCTGCATCATGTCCTGGGCCCGGGTGGGGGGGAGGGTGCTGGGGAGGGTGGGGGGGAGGGGCGGGCGAGGGGAGAGGAGGGACGGGAAGAATAGCGGGGGAGGAGGGGGGAGGGAAGAAAGACGGCGGGCGGACGGGGGGGAATCAACCAGAGAACGTTACCAATCTAGGCATGTTTGCCAGCGCGGACCCCAAACGGTGAGTTATAGTACCTCCCAAGTGATAGCCATGTGATGCAGCGGCAACGAGGCGGCAACGTGGCGAATCCTCGGGTGGTGAATTCTCGGCATAGCTCCACAAGTGGCAACGCGCCGCAACGTGGCGAATCGTCGGCAGGCCCACACAGCGCGCGAGGCGGCAGCGACACGGTAAGAAGCGGCAACGGACGCAGCGTGGCGAATCATTGACATACCCTCGCAGGCGGCAACGGATAGCGACGTGGCAAATCCTCGGATACCCACACGGGCGGCAACGGGTCCGAACGTGGCGAAGCCACGGCATACCCCCAACGGGCTGCAACGGGCGGCAACGTGGCGAATCCTCGGCACGACCGCGAAGGGTCTGCGATAAAGGCCCTTTTTACAAGGGAAACTGCTTTTTTTGGCTCGCGGGCCGATTCACGGATTGGGACAGAAACTGACACTGGGAAGATTCGCTGGTCCAACGGGCCATAGGCGTGCTAACCTCTCCGGCAACAGCTTTGGAATACGTCTAGATCGAGCGCGCGTGGCTGCCCCCCGGGGCTCCCCTGGCGAAGAGCACCCCGTGCGAAAATCCCGGGCGGTCCCCGTCGGGGCTTTCAAGAGCGTTTCCAGAGGCCCCCAAAGCGTTGTGAGCGGGCCTGGGGTCACCGGAAGTCGTTCCAGGATGCCCAAGACGACCAAACACATCTCCAACACAGGAAGCCCCCTAGAGGCAAAATGTTGCGATGATCCATCAGTTTCTGAAGGAGCGCTCTCACCTTTTCGGCCGCCGACGCTCTAAGACGGCCCCCAAGAAGCACCTGAGATCGTGTCAAGACGGCATAGGAGGCCTTCAAGAGAACCCCACCAATGCCCAAGAGGGCCCCAAGAAGCCCCAGAGGCCTCCAAGACGGCCTTCAAGATAACCCCTCCAAGGCATAAGAGGCCTTCAAAAGAACCCCACCAAGGCCTAAGAGAACCCCACCAAGGCCTTCAAGAGAACCCCACCAAGGCTGAAGAGGGCCCCCAGAGGCCTCCAAGACAGACAGAGAGAGCCCGAGGGCGGCCCCACATGCGTCTCCCCCACCCAGCACAGCGCTTCGTGGCCCCATAGGGAGCCCCCCCCGAAGGCCCCAGTGGCGGTGTCCACATGCGCCCCCCCCCATCCAGTGCAGCTTTTCGTGCTCCACCGAAGGCCCCAGCGGCGGTGTCCACATGCGTCTCCCCCACCCAGCACGGCGATTCGTGGCCCCATAAGGAGGGTCCACCTAAGACCCAAGTGGCGGTGTCCACATGCGTCTCCCCCAGACAGCACGGCGCTTCGTGGCCCCATGGGGAGCTCCACCGAAGGCCCCAGTGGCGGTGTCCATTTGCGTTTCCCCCACCCGCTGCAGCGTTTCGTGCTCCACCGAGGGCCCCAGTGGCGGTGCCCACATGCGTCTCCCCCACCCAGTGCAGCGCTTCGTGGCCCCATAGGGAGGCCCGAAGGACCATGTCGCACCGGTGTTGGTGTGGGGGGGGACGGGCCGCCAGCGCACGTGTCCATCAACAACAACACCAACATCACCACCACCACCACCTCCACCACCACCACCACCACCAACAACAACAACAATCATTTTACCCTCATGCGCAATGTTTCCACACTAAGCACGCGACCATCATGATAACCACCCCCATCATGGGGGACTATTATTCTATAGCGGGGTCCGTTATTCCCATTCCCAGATCTCCCGCCCAATGAGGTCTGACAAGCACCTCCTCCGAAGAATTTCAGCATATCCCGCCTCGAAAACCCATGCCCGCGCCTTGCTGCGACGATGCGAGACCGCCAGTGGAGCCCCAGCCAAGGGTAAAGCACAAGGAAGTATCGAGCGACATGATTGCCTTGGTGGAGGTGGGGGCTGTCGGCGGCGAGGCAAGGACCTGGCCCTGAATAGAAAAGGAGGAAGCCTCGAGCGGGAGCGTTGTTCTTGCTGAGAGCGGCGCCGATTCAAAAGAGAGTAGGGCGCCAGTCCAGCGTAAAACGGTCGGGCGGGAGCGCTGGTTTTGTCGGGACGGCGGTTTTCGGCGGCGAGGAGGAACACCGCCTTGAGTAAGGAGGGGGACAGTCTCGAGCGGGAGCCGTGGTTTTGTCGGGACGGGGGCTGTCGGCGGCGAGGAAGAGCATCATCCTGAGGAAAAAGGGAGGAAGCCTCGAGCGGGAGCGTTGTTCTTGCTGGGAGCGGCGCCAATTCAAAAGAGAATAGGGCGCCAAGCTCCAGTCCAGCGTAAAACGGGAGGAAGTATCGGGCGGGAGCGCTGGTTTTGTCGGGACGGCGGGCGGTCTTCGGCGGCGAGGAGGAGCCCCGCCTTGAGTAAAGAAGGAACGAATTATCGAGCGGGAGCGTTGTTGTGACTGGGGGCGGCTGAGAGAGAGAGAGAGTAGCGCGCCAGTCCAAGGTAAAAAGGGAGAAAGTCTCGAGCAGTAGCGCTGGTTTTGTTCGGACGGCAGCCCTCGGCGGCGATCAAAAGCACCGTCCTGAGGACCCCCCCCCAAAAAAGGAAGCCTCGAGCGGGAGCGTTGTTCTTGCTGAGAGCGGCGCCGATTCAAAAGAGAGTAGGGCGCCAATCCAGCGTAAAACGGGAGGAAATCTCGGGCGGGAGCGCTGGTTTTGTCGGGACGGCGGTTTTCGGCGGCGAGGAAGAGCACCGCCTTGAGTAAAAAAGGGAGTTCAGAAAGCCTCGAGCGGGAGCGTTGTTGTTGCTGGGGGGCGTCGCCGATGAGAGAAAGAGTAGCGCGCCTGTCCAAGGTAAAACGGGAGGAAGTCTCGAGCGGGAGCGCTTGTTTTGTTGAGACGGCGGTTTTCGGCGCACGAGCACCGGCCCTGAGAAAAAAGGAGGAAGTCTCGAACGGGAGCGTTGTTGTTGTTGGGGGGCCTGTTTTGGCGGTCCCCCAAACCGCTTGAGAGTGAGCCTCATTTTCAACGAAAATGCAGCCGGCGCCGAGGCGAGAGCGACAGGGCGCCTTTAAGGGGTCCAACATTAGTAATTGTTGTCATTCATCGTTCACATTGAACAATTATTTCAAGACTGCTCGCTCCTGTCTGCTCGCGTGCCACTCAATACGCATGTCCCAAACTTCCGGTACCCGCCCTCTTCGCCTTCGATCGTGCCCCATTGAGGATCGATCTTCCTGTCCTGTCACGCGTATTTAGCGCAGCCCCCAAAACAGGGGAAGCGAGGACGGATGGAAGGGGGAGGGAGAATACAGAGCACGAGAGAGATTAGCAGGAGCGGGGTGGGAGGAGGACACACGTGGCAAAGCAGACGGGCAGATCGGGCGGGCAGACCCAAACGGGCGGGCCGGAAGGCGGGCACAGGCGGCTAGGTCGAGCAGGCGGGCTGTTGAAGCATGAGTCCTGCATGACTCGCGAGGAAGTCTCGAGCGACAGCGCGATTCCGAAGTGAATCGTGAGAAACGCCAGAGCGAGAGCGTGATTCCTGAGTGTCGAAGGCGCGGCGTCTGAGTAAATTGCGTAGAGGTTCCACGCGAGAGCGCGATTCTTGCATACATTGCATGGAAGTCCTGTGCGAGAACGCGAGTTTGGAATACATTGTGAGGAAGTATCAGGATGAAGCCGGTGTTGTTGTAAAGCGGAGGCCCGCAACACAATATGAGCCTCATGACTTCGCCTTCTAGAAATCAGGGTGCGAGCCCCGGCAGGAGCACTTCAATCGCAAAAACATCATAACATCATAGGCGCCGAGGAGTGGGGGGGGCATCTACAACAATAGCGCTCCTGGGGACATGAGGACTCGACAGCAGGAAACAACAACAATCCGCACAGCGGAGCCCCACTTCGGCCACGTACCTGGGGTCACAGCGAAGGACAGGTCGGCCCCCTCACTGTGACATCAGGCACTCGCCATCGCTTGGACGTCCATTCCCTGTGTTTTTTTTTCGGCTTCGTGCGTGCTTTTTTTTGCCAAATGATCGAGGATGCTCCTCGATGGTCTTCGCCGAAGGAAAAAATGCACACGTCCGAGCGATGCCAAGCGGTAACGCTGCGCCGATAGATGGACGGGGGGAGGGGAGGCCCCGCTGCCGCGGCGGCGGCCCCCCTTGCGGCTGCCTGCAGGAACAGCGCCGCCGTCTGCAGGTCCTCGCACCGGACGCACACCTGGCATCCGCTCGGGGCGGAGGGGCCGGCGGCAACACTGCCGACGACTTGCCGTCGCTCGGACGTCCATCTCCCGTGCATGTGTTGGTTTCGTGCGTGTTTTTTTGCTCCATGGTCCAGGATGCTCCTCCAGGGTCCTCGCCGAGGAAAAAATACACACGTCCGAGCGATGCCAGGACGATGCCTCACGAGACAAGCTCATGGAGTCCACGTGACACGAGGGGCCGAGTGGCAGAACGCGCGTGCCCCGCTGCCGCCAGGGCGCGCGGCGGCCCGCCGGAGATGGCCAGCGCTGCCGACGACGACGCCTCCTCCTCCTCTTCCTGCTCCTCCACCTCCTCCTCCTCCCCCTCCTCCTCCTCCTCCTCCTCCAGACCTCTGATGCCCCTGTGGCAGAACAATCCGCCGCCCCCCGAGGATGAGGAGGCGAGATCAGGAGGGATAGGACGGAGAGGAATGGAGATGCAGGAGAGAGGAGGAGGAGAGGAAAAGAGACGGAGGAGAGAAAGGATACGACGCGTTGCGACCACCGTTGCGGACAGTGCCTGGGCATAGCTCAGACCAGGTGGGTGAGACCGTGGCCTCGCAGATCTGGCTTGCTTGGATATCTATACAATGAAAAGACACATGAATGGCATGATCCACCCGCGAATATGGAAAGGAATTTAGAAACCCGATGCACGGCAACGTTTTCAAGACACATAAGTGGGCGACAGAGAATTGCAATGCTGACCATATCGACCGTAATGTACTGGGCCAAATATTGTGCTGTGCTGTGCCGTGCTGAAGTGAGATGTGCCATGCCGCGATGAATTACGCTGTGCTCTATAATGCTACGGATCAAGTCGCCCTTGGCATCCGAACCCTGACCGAACTGATCTGGATCTTCAGCTCGAGCTGCTTGAGCGCAAAGCTGGCCCAAAGCTGGTTGCAGTCGAAACGTGTGGGACGCTCAATAAACTCGAGATCAAAATCATACTCAATTCCGAAGCTGGACGAGACGACACGGGTCGCAAGGCGCATGGACGCGCCACGGAATGTGCCAGGGGTGCACTAGGAGATGCGCTGGGAACGTGACAGAGGACGAGCCAAGGGACGCGCCGAGGGGCGAGGGGCATACGCCGTCCCACTCTAGGGCGTTAAGAACTCATGCGTTGTCCCGCTTGTCCCGCTCGGGAGCGTTAGGAACCCACATGCTTTCACGATTGTCCCGCCCTAGCGCGTTAGGTGACTAGGTGTTGCCATGCGTCCAGGCCGCCCAGGAGGAATATTTCACACGCGGTCGTCTGGGCCCCTCAAAGCGGGGAGGCACAGCGACAAAAACAAATCCACGAATCGACACCGGATGTATAATAACTGGACTCGTTCTGATGGGGCCTCCTGGGGGCTCCTGGAACGCCTCCTGGGCCTCAACAAAAAATATGCTCGCGCTTGTCCCATCTGGGGCGGTAGGAAGCAATGTGTTTTCACGCTTGTCTAGCCCTGGGGCGTTAGGAACCTGTGTGCTTTGACGCTTGTCCCTCTCTGAGACGTGAGGAACCATTTGTTTTCACGATTCGCTTGCTCTGGTGCGCTGGGAACCATATGGGTTCACGTTTGTCCCGACTTGAAGCGTTAAGAACCCTGGTGCTTTCACGCTTGTCCCACCCTGGGCCGTCAGGAACCTACGTATGTTCACGCTTGTCCCGCTCTGGAGCGTTAGGAACCCACGTGCTCTGAGGCATTAGTGAAGCTGGACGCGGCGACACGGGGCGCATGGCGGATGAAAGCGCAACGGAATGTGCCAAGGGCGCACTAGGGGATGTGCCCGGGGACGTGTCAGGGGACGTGGTAAGGGACGCGCCACGGAACGGGCGAGGAAAGCGCCAGGGGACACGCCAAGGCATGCGACAGAGGACGAGCCAAGGGACGCGCCGAAGGGGGAGGGGCATGCGCCGTCCCGCTCTGGGGCGTTAAGAACCAACGTGTTTTCACGCATGTCCCGCTCTCAGGCGTTGAGACCCATGCGTGTTTACGCCTGTCCCGCCCTCGGGCGGTAAGGAACCATTTGGTTTCACGCTTGTCCCGCCCCGGGGCGTCAAGAACCCACGCGACTTCATGCTTGTCCCGCTCGGGGGCGTTAGGAACCCACGTGCCTTCACGCTTGTCCCGCACTGGGAGGTGAGGGCGCCATGGTTTTCACGTTGGTCCCGATCTGGGGCGCTGGGAGCCCCAATGCCTTCACGACCGTCCGGCTCTGGAACCTCAGGAACCCATGTGTTTTCACGCCTGTCCCGCTCGGGGGCGTGATGAGCCCACGTGCGTTCGCGCTTGTCCTGCCCTGGGGCGTTAGGGAACCATCTGTCTTCACGCTTGCTCCGCCCTGGGCCGTCAGGAATCCGTGTGCTCTCACGCCTATCTGCCCTGGGGCGTCAAGCACCCACGTGACCTCAAGCTCGTCTGGCTCGGGGGCGTCAGGAACCCACGTGCTTGCACGCTCTAGGGGGCAAACAAACCTACCTCGTGTTTGACCACCCTCGTTTCCAAGAGATACCAAGCAATGCCAAACAACGGCCTGTACTGGTCAGGCCGCTTGGCGAGGAAGCGCGTGGTATGACTTGGTTTTGCCTGGAAGCGAAAGCGGGGTAGGTGATTCACGCTCTGACGCTCGTCCTGCTCTGGGAGTCGGTGCTGGCGCGGGCTGGGCGTGCCGTGCCGGGACTCCCTGGGCGTTCACGCTATGGGCCTCTAGTTTCGGGTGTTTGCTTGGCGCGAGGTCGGTGTCGTGATGCCCGAGCGCCATCCCTGCTTCGTTTCCGGAGTGGGCCAGGATGGGGGCGGAGGAACGGAGAGGACAGAAGAGGAGGAGACACAGAGGGAGAGAGAGAGAGAGAGAGAAACAGAGAAAAAGAGAGCAAGAGAGAGAGAGAGTTGTTGTTCGCCACTCTTATTCCTGCACTTCCCCGTCTATCCCCTGGCCCCAGAGCGGGGGCCCTCCCTCCATTGACTAGGCTACCATGCCTTCAGCCTTCAGCCCGTCCCCCCTCCCTCCTCCCCGCTCATACCCCCTCCTCCTCTAGGTCCTAGACCTCATCACTCCTCCACCTGGCCGCTCCCCTCTGACTTCCCTCCTCTCTCCTCCGTTCCCTTCTTCTCTCCTCCCACCCCCCCTCACCCTCGTCCTGCTCCAACTCCTCCTTTGCTCCCTTTTCATGCCCCTCTCCTCCTGGTCCTCCCCCTGCTCATTCTACCCGTCCCGTCCTGCTCCTGCTCCTCCCTTCTCCCTCCCTCCTGTTTCTGCTCATGCTCATCCTCACCACTATCTGTCAGTGCAGTTGTCTTCCTCGCGGACCGCGCGGCGGTCGAAACAACGGGTGCGTCCCAGGGCCCTAGGACTAGGGCCAAAACAGCGGCGGGCAGCGTGCATGCCACAAAACAAGACAAGCGTGTACAACATACACACATGGTGGCACGGGCGGCAGAGGGGCAGGGGAGTGCACTCTTCACACTGGGTGAGTACAATGCTGCCCCGATGCCGCTCCCTCTGAAAGGGCAAATGCTGCACGCAATGATAATGTATATCAGCCCACAGGCCGAAACACCTCAAGCAGATGCGGCCTGAGGCTCGAAATATAAATATGAATGTCTAGATTCACCACTCCAGACTGTCAACTCAAAAGATATGCATGAGACACCTCAAGCAAGGTACGGCCTGAGGCTCAAATATAAATACAAGAATATGAATATCTGGATGCACTACTCCAGACGATCCACTCAAAAGATATGCATACATCACCGTAGCCCTCACTAGGTCCACCAGCAGCTGCAATCAGGACCTCACGGGCTCGCAGGCCCTGGAACGGCGACCCGACGCTGGGCCTTCCGCTCCTTGGCTCGCCCACGCTGTCCGCGGCGCAGCCGCAGACGGTGTGCCTCCTCATCCTCTTGCTCAGCAGTAGGCACCATGCTGAACAGGCCGTGGCGGAGGAACTGCGATAGTACCTCGTTAGGCTGCACGGCTTTTGTCAGCACATCCGCTAGCATGTGGCTATTAGGCAGCCACTTGAACTTGATGGCCTCCTGCTCTATCAAATCCTTGGCCACCAGCAAGTCAATGAGGGTCTGCCGAGACACCGGCATCGACCCGATCTTGGACGTGTGATCGTAGAGCGACTTCGCATCCGTCACGAGCGCCCCTGGAACCTTCAGCGCCAGCCTCCAGTCCCCTTGCAAGGGCGGCTCCCCGTACAAGATTGCCTCAATCAGCAGCCTGAGGTAAAGCTGCCGATCCAAAGCCACGGACATAGCCGCAGACTCTGCGGCCATCGTAGATCCAACAACTCGTGTAATAGTACTGCTCTGAAACTCCACTAGACAGCATACAGTTAGCTCCTTCAAAACTCGGGTGTCCGTAATCATACTCATAAACCCCATCTGGCTCTTACAGCCGGGTTCCTTCGCAAACGAAGCGTCCATAAGCGTGAGCACCTGCAAGCGCTCGATGTCCACACGGCGGATCCGGAGAGTCGCAAGACCTCTCTTGTCGTAGTCCTGAAGCCGGTCGATGATGTCATTGAGCACTCGCAGGTGCAGCAACCTCCGACCTTTCGGATCCTTCTGTGCGAGCGCCGAGACACTATGCGCGAGTTGTGGCACCACTCGTGCGACAGGCCACCGCACCTTCTGGAGCAAGCTCCGGTAGTCGTGGTGCTCCTCGGGAGTCATCTCCCGCTCCTCGTTGTCACCCCTTGCAAGGGGGTGCTTCGTCAGCTTGCCGATGTACTCGTGCATGCTGATCTCGATGTGATCGGGGTGGCGCCACCACTCCTCACCGAGATAGGCGACTGCCTCCTTGTCGTTGCCCTTCTTCCAGTGCTTGATGTTGAAACGACTGTTGATGTTCGCCTTCACCTCCTGGTACTGGGGATCGTGTGGGTCTCCAAACAGCATGCCGTCATCGACGTGCAAGGTCAACATAGCGATCAACTTGTCGTTCATTCGATAAACGAAGACAGCTCGAG